CGGGGAACCCGCGCCCCCCTCCCCTCCCTCCGCCCGCCCGGCCTGAGGCGACGCCCGAGGGCAGCGGCCTAAAACCCCTCTCTCCTCCTCCCACAGGTCCCCATCACGCTGGGCGTCTTCCTCAACTCCTACTACGACGTGAAGTTCAGCGTCCTCGGGATGGTGTTCGCCACCTTGGGCGTCCTGGTGACCTCCCTCTACCAAGTGGTGGGTAAATGGCGGGGGTGGGCCGGGAACCCTGTGGTGGTTGGTCTTCAGCCTGCTGTCCCTCGGTTAGATCGCCTTTGAACAGCACGCTGCCTTTCAGGAAACTCTCCATACTCCGTTATTTATTTAAAAAAACCCAAACAAACAAACAAAAAGACCCAAAAACCAAATTGTGATAATCGACCACAACCCCTGGTAAATTGTTTAAGGAATTGAGCGTCCTTGCTGCTAAAAGGTGGGGTGTCATCTTTAATGTGCTCGTGAGCACATTTTCAAGGATCAAGATTGCTTCATCAGTAAAACTCTGTTTTTCTAGAGAGCACGGATTCTCTCCTTGCTGAAGCAAGTGCCTTGCATTTGAGCCTTTCCCTATAAAGGACATTTTCCAGTCCTTCAGTTAATCCTATGGTTTATCCTTGAGCTATTTACATTTTATCAGCATCCTTCTTCAACTTCAAGTATACACAGTCTCAGGTGTTTTTGTAGAGGGTGCATTAGTGCCAAATATAGGCACAATATAACCTCTGTGGCTGATTATGGTTGAAAAAATAGATATGTCCAAGGACTGCCTTCGCCCTTTCTGCTGTAACATTGTACTAACAGCTCATGACCAGTTTGTTATTGTCCATGATTGTAAAAGCATCCCAAATTAGAGTCCCCTGTCGTGTTGATGTGATAGTCATCATCAATTTAAGCGTGAATCTCTTTGTAACAGATGTGCTGTGCCTCCAGAAGAAGTGAGGCTTTTTGACCTGTAGTGTGCAAGATGATTTTTCCCTGTTTTGGGGCAGGAGGAGGAGAGAGATGCTGCATTGTAACTTTAGGTAATGGTGTGTGTTCTGGAGAAACGGTAGTACCTGAGTGAAATTATCCTGTAGTTTTTAAAAAAACTTAGCAAGTTTATATTGTATACACTGGAATCCTTGTTACCCATGAATGTGATTTATGAAGTATTAATGTAAACATCACTCTTAAGTATAATACAAAGCTGCATCCTTTTGCCTATAGCATCTATATTTGTATCCATAGATAAATAATGTTGTCTCTTAAAGCATGCTACAATTATAGTCAATATTGAAATGAAATCCAGTAGATTTGGAATAAGCTGGCAAAAAAAAGCCAAACGTTTACTGGTTTTGTTAGCTTCTATGTGGAGGAAAATGAGAAGGAGCAAAAGCAGATCTCTGCTTAGGCAGAGGTGCTCAGCTCCATCATAGACAGGATCTGAAATTTATCTCAAGAATAAAAGGGAGCTGTCCTTTTCTTCCCAGCTCTGCTATTTTTTTGTTCTTCCTCAAGAATAATACCTTACCCCTAGGCTATGGGAAAAGGAAAGTTTACGCACTTACGGGGGTTTTCACTGCCCCTGCATACGCTTTCCTCCTCACATGACTGTGCTCTGTGGCTTGTGTGCTCACAAGAGACAAACATGTAGGCTTCCGGTTAGGCAAAAGTGGAATATGATGCTCAGCAGTCTGTTGATGTAGTATTGTCCACATGAGACTCCCTCTGTGTTAGTAGCCAGTTTACTTTTGCTCAAGTTCTCCATTTATGGTTTTTTTTCCTCATGTTTAACAGCTTTCTCTTTTGGTTTTAGTGGGTAGGAGCTAAGCAGCATGAGTTGCAGGTAAACTCTATGCAGTTGCTGTACTATCAGGCACCAATGTCCTCGGCTATGTTGTTGTTCATCATACCCTTCTTTGAGCCAGTCTTTGGAGAAGGGGGAATATTTGGGCCCTGGACGCTTTCTGCTGTGGTAAGGCTTTTATTGACTTTATTTAAATAATCATCATTGATGTAGTTAAATTTGGTACCAAGATCTGCTTCTTTGTGAAACAGATTTTTGTACAGTCGTTGACTATGATGAGATGAGAGGGGCGTGTGCAAGCGAAAAAAAAATACTTGTTGTGTCTGCCCTCACTTCCTCCCAGAGGAGTCTGTCTGTCAACTGATCTACCTCCTTATTCTTGTTTCTGTTTAGAGGGCATCTGAACAACAGGAAAATCTGACAAAATCCAGAAGCTTCCCTTAGTGTATTAAATTAAAAATATGTAAGTGCCCTAGTTCCAGCTCTTACTGTCCACTCAGAAAAGAGATAAGCATGCTCACTTTTGACACTCTCAACTCCTCTTCTGTGGAAGGATGCCAACTGTGGTTGTTCTCTAGAACTGCTAGTTTATTTTCACCAAGAAGGCTATAATTTCTCTCTTTATCCTTCTGTCCAAAAAAGAGTCAGTGGCATATTCTTACCACTGCTGATTGTGCCACTCAGTGATGGGTCATTTCTCGTAGCGCTGCAGTTTGTGAATGGAATAGCAAGTATTCACAATAATAAAATTGGGTGTTTTTCCAAAACAGTTTTTTTGTGTGACCATAAATAAGACTTTGTCTCAAAGGTAAAGAATACAACTTCTATGTGTATGAGTAGCCAGATTTTTCCAAATCACTCTTAAACATTCACTGAGAGTAAAGGAGAAAAGGCTTGTGGTTATATCAATATATAATTACGGACATCATACCCTGAGCTACTTATACACATCACCAATGTCTGTATTGATTTGAAGCTGTTCCTATTTTTGTTATCCATATGTTTTTCTTGCCTGATACTTTGCATTTGAAAGTAAAGGAAACTAACTAAATAACCTGAAATGTATCTACAAATGGCCAAAAGCGTGTGGGATTATTGACTGTGTCCATTAATCCACAGATAATGGTACTGCTGTCTGGTATAATAGCCTTTATGGTAAACTTGTCCATTTACTGGATCATTGGAAATACGTCACCTGTCACGTATCCTTTGTAACATTAGTTGTTTCTCCTGTTTCCAGATGAATTATGTTAGCATTCATTTGGGCTGGTTAACCGTGGGAAGATTGTTTGGTAACCTGCCTGCTTTATCTTAAATGATGAAGCTGGAAAAGCATGTTCATGTTTTAGTGTATTTTGTTTCTTTGTTCAGGGTTAACTTACGGACGTGACCTTCATTCGTACAAAGAATATTTACCCACGCTTTGGCTACCTTGAGGAAGTGTTGGCGTGTCAGTTAGTGTGTAGTGTACGATGGGTGAAAGGCTTTACATGGAGGTTAATTCTCATAGCCGCAGAGATGCGGGAAAGTCTTGCCTGATACTTTGCATTTGAAAGTAAAGGAAACTAACTAAATAACCTGAAATGTATCTACAAATGGCCAAAAGCGTGTGGGATTATTGACTGTGTCCATTAATCCACAGATAATGGTACTGCTGTCTGGTATAATAGCCTTTATGGTAAACTTGTCCATTTACTGGATCATTGGAAATACGTCACCTGTCACGTATCCTTTGTAACATTAGTTGTTTCTCCTGTTTCCAGATGAATTATGTTAGCATTCATTTGGGCTGGTTAACCGTGGGAAGATTGTTTGGTAACCTGCCTGCTTTATCTTAAATGATGAAGCTGGAAAAGCATGTTCATGTTTTAGTGTATTTTGTTTCTTTGTTCAGGGTTAACTTACGGACGTGACCTTCATTCGTACAAAGAATATTTACCCACGCTTTGGCTACCTTGAGGAAGTGTTGGCGTGTCAGTTAGTGTGTAGCGTACGATGGAGGTTAATTCTCATAGCCGCAGAGATGCGGGAAAGTTGCATGAGTCAATGTGACATACCATTGCATGCTTTGGATGTAATTAATGAAGTTCCCAAATGTTTCTTTTTATAAGAAATAATACTGATCTTTGCTATTATCCTTAACAGATGTCTAGGTATAACATGTTTGGACATTTCAAGTTCTGCATCACCCTCCTCGGAGGGTGCCTCTTATTTAAGGATCCGCTGTCTGTTAATCAAGGCCTTGGGATTCTCTGCACGTTGTTGGGCATTTTAGCTTACACCCACTTCAAGCTTAGCGAGCAGGAAAGCAGTAAGAGTAAATTGGTTCAGCGTCCATAAAGCAAGGGTTTCTGGAGATTAATAATATCATGAAGGAAAACAAGTATTTAAATATGCAGTGATTCTTGAATGCACAAAATTGCCTCGTTCATTTAGATCTATGGTTTTAGTTTAACTGCCAGCATCGTTATTCTGTAACTAAACCAAACAAACTGAATTATGTAAAATGCTGGGGTTTTGCCATCTCAGTCTGTCCTATCGTTTTCGTTAAATTTAAATGGTAACTTAAAAGAGAAAACGGCGCACTTCAAACTGCTGTGGAAATTGTACTGAAGTAATTATATTTTTTGCATACCAAATGAGATCATGATGGCTACAGTTATAATACAGAGAGAGAGAAAGAAAAGGAATCCTGTTTTTGTGATCATGCCAATATTACTGTTGTGGAGAAACTTGCAGGCATTTTTATGCAGATGTTCTGGTACGTAGTGATGCTTCCTCCTTTTTGTCTGGTGAACGATGAAGAGGAAACATACTTTGTTCAGTAGTTTTAAAAAGGGCTGCCAAGCTCATTCCTATTTCTTCTATGCTTTCTTATGTATGTTTGGCTTCAACACATTGATTAATTTTGGCTGAAGAAAGTAGATAAAATTACAGGTGGAGAGAGACTAGAGGAGACGTTGGAAAACTCGAAGCCACAGGCCAAGCTGTAGAAAAGTAGGAAATCAGATCTAAACAGTTCATCTTAAATTTTTGTCTTAGTCCATCAGGACGTTAATGAAGTCATTCATGTTTTAGAAAATTCTGTTACTGCTTTATAATTTTCTTGATGCCAAAACCAAGGCTTTACATGACATCTTGTAAATACTCGTGAGCCTAATAAAATCTCTGATTTTGTGGTAATAACCAAATATTTTGCAGCCCTTGCACACAGACACCCATGCTAAAAATATTTTTGGAGAAATCTTTGGAAAGGTCACCATCTGTAATGGGTGTGAAGATTGCCCGGTTCTCTCTCCTGCCTTCAACCCCACCTCCCTGGCTCCCACACCTTTCCCCAAGAGTTACGTTGTTCGGTGGGATCTGCAGAGTTGTCTGCTGTTGTTTCGGGGGGGTGCCCAGGGGTTGTCTGGGCAGTGCTGGGTAGGCAGCGTTTCCTCAGCAGACAGTCTCTGGAAACGTATCGGAGTAACTGAAGAGTGTGAGGTGGGACCTGCTTCTGCTCTAATTTGGGAACGCTTTCAAAATTATTTTATGCCAGTATCAAGCACTGATTTTGACAATGTGGAAGGAAGAAGCTGAGTGCTGTTCTATTTAAAAAAAGAAAGAAAAAATAACTGCTTTCAGTAAATCTGGTGAGAACATATGTTTGCTAGATTTGCAGGGTTAGAATTTATTTGCAGTATCTTAATCCTTACATTTTGGGGTTCGTTTTGTCTTCATCTACCTCTGGCAGATTTAAAGAGGGGAATTATGTGAACAAAAACAGGTATTTAAGTTTTACAACTACCGACAAAAATGCTATTTAGTTTCTCTAAGCTTTTTACAATATAGGTAACAAGTCCCTGTGTAAGAAACAGTGCAGATCTTCTCAAGCTTGTAAATTATTTATTCTGTTACAGAGTTCTTGATTTAAGAAAAAGTTATTTCTCTGTATAACCTAAGTTTACACCGTAATACTCTATATAATTTCAGAGTTAGAAATACCTGAATAATTTTACGTCTTTACCAACTGTGTCTTAGACATTGTACTGATCCAAGGATAATTTTTTGTATACGTTTTTATAAATCTATAATTAGTTTAAAAATACAGCCTGGACTACTGAAAGATGTTTTCAGTCAATCTCTGGATGCATACCCTTCAGTACGTACACTGAGAAAGCCGTTTGCATTAATTTGTGCTGTGCACAAGTTCTTCTAAAATGTAGGTAGACTGCAAAGACTCTTACAGTTAGAAAACAACTGAATTAGAAGCCTGTATGACAACAATATTTGGGATGAGACTGATGTAAATACAGAGTGTTAGAATGAACAAAAGAACTGCGTGTGAAAATACAGAAGACTCCTTAAGGGGAGGAGCAGATCTGCAAGAGAAAGTTAACAGTATCATTAAAACAATACATTATAAATACAGTCTGTTGCTGGAATGTGTAAGTCGTGGAGGTCACTTAGGTGACATGATTTTTTTCATACATTCAAGAACTCTCCTTTGAGATTTACCTGTTGTATCTAAAAAATAAAGTATCTTGAACTTTGTCATATGGTTCAAAATATAAAATCCAGGAGACTTGTGTAATTGTGGGATAAATAGATATTTGTATGTATTGTTTCTTTGGATACCATGTGTTGGGTGGGAATAAATTTTTAATCACTTGACTGATACCTGTTTAATGCAGGGGAGAACAGCTGTTCTTGTCTTTTTTCATCTTCTGCTTGAATTGCATACACTTTGGGGGTCTAGGTGTGTATAAGACAAAATGGTGCTACTTGGATTTCTGTCTATATAAATATTTCAAGGAGTTTGCATGTTTTGGGGCTGAACTCATGACACAAATGAGAGAGGGTGCGTGCCTCCCCTCCCCTGGGCAAATACAGGGACCCGCATGCATGTATGCAGATGCTTGCCCACTGACAAACTGCCTGTGTGCTTTCCTTCACCCCTGTCTCTTTCCCCCGCCTAAGTCCTTCCTGAATGCTCCAGTCTCTGCACGTTCTCCATTTCCTTCTCTGTCCTGCACAAAGGTCCCCAGTGCTGAGGTTCCTTGGTCTCACCTTTCCCCTATGCTAAAACTGTGCATACTTCCCTCACCCCTTAGCAGAGGAGTCCCGATGCTCTCCCAGTGGTACTGGGGAGGAGCAAAATAAAGTTAATATTATGATGCCAGAGTAGGGTGACTCTGGCACCAGCCAATGTCTTCCTTCATAGGCAAGTATATGTAGAGTTTTATGTTACGGGGACTGAATCTTCCTTCAGGAGATTGTAAAACAACAAAGAGAAGGAAGGGGTAAGAGAGGCTTTCGGTTTAGATGTTTTTACTGCAAGCCCTGTGATAATTTACTTAGCCAAACTTTTAAATCCTGAGGTAAAAGTAGAGTTTAATAAAAAGTACTGATACTTAGCTGGTGGGAAATTTGCTTATTCTAGTTTTTACTATATCACTTTAATGTTTTCCTGCTAATTACATGTATTTCATTCAGTTTTGGCTTTCCTGAAAGAAAAACCAGAGACTTGGCATCTTTAACAATATGTAGTCATCGCCCTATATGTGCCATCACAACTGGAGCTGTACTGTACAAACACCGGTGTTTACTTTCTGCTTTTCATTTTACTTCATAGTCTACATGTAACTAAACCATGGTAACAAGATGGACCTTGGTCCTTTTCTGCCATCAAGTGCTTTGCTGCTTATATTAGCATTCTTTACTTTAAAAAGCTACCATTGATGTAATTCCAGTGGAAAAGCTAGCGTAGATACCCGAGTGGCGTTTAAAAATTAGAGCAGATCCAGATGATTCTGATTAAAATGAGTGACTGGTGGTAAGTTATCTTTGCTAGCCTTGTCCCTAAAAACACTTTAGAACAACATACACAAATTTTTCTCATTTTCGCCAAAGGAATAGGAAGTATGCCTTCATTTGGAGATACTCAGTTAAAAGCTTTGTGTTACCTTTAACTTTGGTAGCTCAGCACTTGTTTGACAGATTTTGCATCTGGTTTTGTACGACTTGCTAAGTTCTTGCAGGCTCTGGGGGCACTATGCCAGAGGAGTTTTCCTGTTGATGGGTGAACAGCTTCTCTCTCAGGCTTGAGGTTGAAGGAGAGCGGTTTGCTGCTGTTACATGTATGAAAAGGAGGCTTGTCTTGCCAGCAGGAATGTATCCTCTCTCTGTCTCATTTCGTGAAACGAAATGCCCAGTGATGGCCTGGGGCTAAAGCAACATTAAAGCCTTGTTTGGGCTATCCATAGTTTTTATTAAACTTTTTTTAAAATACTAGTGGTAGTCAATGCTGGTTACGTATTAAGGTAAAAATCTCATTTTTATAATGTCTTATATAATAGGAGCTTCACAGGAATGTATCCTCTCTCTGTCTCATTTCGTGAAACGAAATGCCCAGTGATGGCCTGGGGCTAAAGCAACATTAAAGCCTTGTTTGGGCTATCCATAGTTTTTATTAAACTTTTTTTAAAATACTAGTGGTAGTCAATGCTGGTTACGTATTAAGGTAAAAATCTCATTTTTATAATGTCTTATATAATAGGAGCTTCAGAAGAGTGTTCTATAACATTTTGGAGTACAGCTAATGTCTAACTCATGTCTAGTTTGTCACATCTTCTGCAAAATCTATCAAAAGGTAATGATGGATTTCGTAACTGGCTGTATATATTTTACAGTTGGGCTGCTGAGAAGGGGCTTGCTCTTGAGCAATACTGTGCTACTAAACACTGACATAGTGTTAATGTATTTAGCAGTGATTTAGAAACATCCAGCCTGAAATTCACCAATGTGCTTAGGAAGGGAAAAAATGCCTCAGTCTGATAAGTGAGAGAGCTTTTTATCTTCCTGCTTTTAACAACAAACCTGAAGCCTGCATTTTAAGGGAATTCTGAGAGCAGGCCTTACTCTCCCCCAAATCACCTTTCATGATAAGATTTCTCTCCCAAGATGTCTGTTTTGCTCCCAGTTACATAGTTGGTGTCTTATCTGGATTTTAAAAGAATAGAGTTTGGATTGCAGACTTGCAGGTGTTTGCTTGTGTTATGGGTTTTTTCCTCTTAAAATTTTGTTAGCCGTTCACAATCCAACTTCCCTGTTTAATGAGAAAACAAGAAAGGAATGTTGAATAAATGAAAGGTAGACTGGATATGTTTTGTTTTGCACAAGAATTTCACTCTTCTAACTGTAAAGATTCTGTTTGTTTCTCTACTATTATAATCAGGTAGATGCGCACAAGCACCAGCTTTCTGCTCCATACAAACTCACTGTCTTCCTTCTGGTGCTCCCTCTCTGATCGCAGTCTCAGCCTTCCATTCGACAGCTCAGTTGCTGCAAAGATGATTGGGATGTCAACTGCAGAAGGTTAAGAACATGAAGTGAAAAGCTATCAGCAGGAGCTGGTATAATCTTAGGTAATGAGAAATCCTATTCTAAGACACAGAGACATCTTACCAAAAAGACATGTGCTAAACAGCAGGGAGAGGTGTGGGTTTATCTCCAGGCAGGTATTGCAAAGAATGCAAGAGCTGAATTGTATGAATTTTTTCTGTGCTGCAGTAGTTGACAAATTTAGTTTAAACTAGCTTTTAATAATACAAAAATTGAAAATATAAATGCCGTGCAAAAAAATA